ACAAAGCAAGGACCCCACCGCCTCGAGATAGTGCAACCTTAGGTTTACACGTAAATTTAATGAAAATGACAAGAAGAAAAATTTGAAGTTCCAAACATCAATCCTCAGTAGGTTGTTGAAGATATCCAGCAAAAATATAGTTGTTACTCCAATAATAAAAACCACTTTATTTTTTTCTATTTAATTTTTAAGCTTTTAGAAAAGTTCACATTCACGGTTCACAGTCAGCAAGTCTATGAAAAGAGTCGGAGTTCGATAACAACTTACACTTAACAAAACGAAAAACGGAAAGTACATTTAACAAAACGAACGTGGATATAACAAAAAATGTGAAAGGTCACTAACTATTTCACTAGGCTTTAACACCACTCGACAACAGGAACACTTTGGCGTAACATAAACAATAAATCGGTCCTTTTTAATGTGCTCCGAGAGACTTTTAAACGACTTTGACTTTAGTTTTTACTGTTATTTGTCTTAAGTTTTTTCCTTCAGTTGGTAAAATTGTAGTTAAATTGTAGTTGGCGGTAATTTGACAATATTTGTGGCTCAAAAACCTGAGCTAAAAAAAAGTCTATTTTCTAAAGTCTAAAAGTCTGTTAAATAAAAGTCTAAAGTCACTCACTATCAAATTACAACAATTAATCAAGCTACTACTATCTTATTTATTTTACCTTTATATTATACCACTAAGTACTCACATTATACCAATCTACAGATTTATAAGTATACATCCGCAATTAATCTAAAGGACGTAGAGATTACATTTCACGGACCCTTGTGGTGAGACCTAGTCATAGTCATATCATATGTTTGGTTAAATTGAATCATGTAAACTAAATTAAACAATATCAGTGGATACTAGAGATCATATTCGGTAGTTATGACAATTCTATATAAAGTTATGCGTTTATAAATAATAAAAAAAGAAGAAAAGGCAAAGAATTAGTCTCACGCTGACAGTTCTGCTTCTCCTTTTTATTAATTTAATTAATGCTGTTATCCGCACGACGTTTGATTAAAAGGATTAGTCGTCCCAGTATTCTATGTCAATCAAATAGTCGTCGTTTACATACTTCTTTTTATGGCTTACGAGAAAGAAATTAATAGCGACGTTCTTCAGGTTATACTTCTTCGCTATGTTCTTACCCGAAAAGTTGGCAAAGCGCTCTCGTTCATAAATTTGTCTGAAATAGAGTAAAAATTACACATCAGAGGTCAGTGATCCATGAATAATACGCTGTTAGGAAAGCGAAGGGAAGGGGGAACAAACTCGTGAGAAGTTTATGGAAAGAAACTTATTTGTGCTGCACACAAATTAAACAAGAAAAACTTTAAAACAACTCACTTGCACCGTTGAATATTCACATCCGGGACGAGCATCTGGGCTTGTGATTTCATCAATTACCAATCGCGGCTGATTATGGACCTTAGAAATGGAAGAAAATGGGCCCCGAAGTTCGATATTTACTTGTGCAAGCCGGTAGTTTTAAAATATTCATGTTTTTATTAGGATGTTACCAGGGCCGGATTCACCTACTTGCCGCCCATGGGCCGCCTGTATTTTTCCGCCCCCTTCTCATTCATTTTGAAACATCAATAGATCGTATTCGACGGTGGCGCGATGTATCGTTTGGTTCAAAACAATATAACATAACCTCGAACAAAAATTTTAGGATTTAATTTGGAAAAGCTGAAAATGAGAAAATTCCTAACAATTTCACTTTTGATTGCAATTTGGTACTCGGGAGAATAAAAATTCGATCACATGAGACCCGTTACCTCAGATTTCTAAATTGAGTTCTGAGGCTGTGGTTACATATTGAACCAATCGATATCAATAAAATCTGACCTGTGTGACCTGTCGAATACGATCTAGAAAAACAATCAAGTGAACGTGCCGGTGGGAGAGGGGTGTATGAGATGCGTTTACTCGTGTTGGGCACATTTTTTGTGAAAGCCCTGTCAACACTAACAAAAGTTCTGTTCCGTAAACCCATCCCTGTTTGGACAAGGCTTTTCATGTATAAAAAACGAACGAAAAAAATTATGTAAGAACAAACATAAATGTGGTTAATAATTTCAACTTCCACCGCCGCGCCGACAACACTGTGTTGGCGCAATGCGTGAAGTATTCATGCAGTCTTGTAGGCGCTATGCGTTTCACGCCGACCGCTGCTGCGACCACACTGTTTGGCGTTATGCGTGAAGTATTCATGCAGTCTTGCAGGCGCTATGCGTCTCAAGCCGACTGCTGCAGACCGCAGTGTGTTTGACGCAATGCGTGAAGTATTCATGCAGTCTTGTAGGCGCTATGCGTTTCATTTCGACCGCCTCACCGCGCCGTTCCAGATCAAATTGCGTGTTTGGTTTCTCTCGTAACTCGACTAACTAAAGGTGTTGTCTCTTGTATCACCGAAATACGACAAAATTAGAAATTACTATATACTTTCACTCTCAGAAAATGAGAGATTTTGTCGCCTTTTCTCGTTTGTAATTTATTTTCTGAATCCGATTTTTCCTCTCCTTTTTTGATACCTACATTCAAAAAGATTGCAAAATTTGCCGTCCCCTACATTTTGCCGCCATGGGCCGCGGCCCATATGGCCACCCCCTTAATCCAGCCCTGGATGTAACTGAAAAAGCAATGCTCATTCAGTCATACATAACTGCAGTTGAGCATTACGTAAATGACTTACTGCATATAGGTACAAATTTCCCCTGATTCCTGAATTTAAGAGACGAGTACGTCTCCTAGTTCATAAATGTTTGTCTTAATTGGACGCAAATATCCAGAAGTGCACTACCACGCTGCCGAGCCAAGGAAAAACGCCGTATGAACATTCGATAGTTGCCACATTTCCTTCGATGAAATGTTTATTTTTGAGGAAAGCTATGGATATTTTCCCTTGAAATTTTCAGGAACTTTAGGTGACATTGCGACCAAAATTATTTGAAAAAATAGAAGAAAAATATGTCCAAATTTTTACCGAGAAATATGTCCAAATTTTCTTGAAAATTCGTGATTTACAAAAGGAAATTAGACAGCGCTCGGAGGCTCATACGGCGTTTTTCCTCAGCACGGCAGCACGATGGATGAAGTTTTTCAGAAACGACCTGCATCCTAATTTCATTTTCTTATATAGATGGGTGACTTTATTGATGCCTCTTAATTTACTAGTTTCCTTCCTGCTGAACTCGATCAAGTTGCTCTGTGTCTCACCGAACAAGCAAGGGGATATTATCTTTACTTCTATACTTACGTGTTGTTCAATCGTGGCTCATCAAATTTAATAGGTTCATGGCTAGGCTGCGCATATACTAAAAAGGTGTACCTATGAGGATCTGGAGAGAAAAAGAAAACGTTTTTTAATTCTCATGATTCTCTCATCACTCAAATTTAAGATTCAGAAAGTTCTGAATAAAAATTGAGGTTGTCATAAACGAGACAGGTTTGTTAATTTATTTTTTAAAAAAGAAGAAAAAATGAGAAATTACTCGGATGCTCAGGACACAAGTGAGCTTCTGGTCCAATGGTAATGAAAAATAGCTATGTATGTAACTTAACTATTTTCTTTTTCAAATTCATTCGATCATGAACAGATTTTTCAAGTCGAGTAAATGTTAATTTAAGTTAACCGTAAATTGTGATTACGACGATTCATCCCTTTATCGTAACTGATTTTGAAAGTTACGCTGGTTACAAAATCGTTTTATCTTAACTAAAGCCCACTAATGGGTGGTTAATATACAAACATTTTGTAACTTTACCAATTAGCTTCTCTGCACAAGACTTCTCTGCACTTTTAGACAACTTTTCTTCTCTCAGTCGGAAATTTTTTAAACACCTTGAATCGAGTAAACCAATGATCCAAACGGTAAAAGTTATATCGATGATGAAACTGCAGATGTGCGTACCTCGGTTCGCGACATTAAAGACTTCCTGTCGTACTTCATTTCTTGCGTTTAAAACTATCAAACGTCCTTTCTTGAAAACGTCGGTCACTTTCCTGCTCAATGTGAAGAAAATTCTGTGAAAATTTTAAGCCGTAATCTTGGTTTGGAATCCTTTTAAAAGAACAAAATGGGAGTAGAGATTTTGAAACATTGCAACCGAAGTACGCAAGTTTTGAAGTTTCAACGTCGATATTTGGGTTACATACTGCTCGATATTTGGGTTACATACTGCTCGATATTAGAAGGTTTCTGCGGAAAAAGAACTAAACACTACTTACTTTCATCAATAATGGTAGCACGGTACCCAACGTAATCGATAATGGTTTCCCCTTTCTCAACGTTGCTCCCTGGAATATTTCCAACCATCCAGTGTGGGAACTCGTTTATTGTGCGAGGTTTCTTGATGGGCCAATCTGGATCTGAAAAAGGAGCAAAAGTTTAAAAATGTCAGCTCATGTAAAGAAAAAGGTTTCTTTTCGGCCAGTCTGGATCTGAACAAGGAGCAGAGGGTTAAACAATGTTAGCTCATGTATAAAGAGAAAGGTTTCTTAGTCGGCCAGTCTGGATCTGAGAGGGGAGCAGTGCGTTGAAAAATGTCAATGTACGTAAAAATAAGGTTTCTGAATTATCGTAGATACCCAAGCAACTGCAGTGATTGCGATAAGCTGCGATTTGATCGGAGACTGTATCGCGATTTTACAGACGTCGATTCGGAATATTATCGGATAAAAAATTGCGATTTAATCGCGTGAATTTGCAATAAAATCGCTATTTTTTACGGCAATTTATCGTAATATTATGGAACACAAAATTGTGATAAATTGAGGGGCTCGGAGGATAAAGTGCATAAGTGCAGTTTTTGCTATTTCCAGGGATACGTGTTTCAAGTTTCAAAATTACATGGATCCATATGCCGGAAAAAAAGTTCAAACTGACTTTTTAATGCTATAAAATTGGAATTTGGGAGCGATTTGGTCACAGAACATGCACCAAGACTAGCTTTACTTGAAAACATTATTAGCTCAATTTTTTTCAAAATCTGTACTTATGCGCCTTGTCCTCCAAGCCACTCAATTGAGGTAAAATTTCGATTTTATCGAACGCGATTTGAAAGAGATAGAATCGAGAGAGGACTGCGGATAATCGCTCAGATGTTGATGATTTATCATTTTTATTACTTGTTTTATCTTTTAAAAGTATGAAAAAAGAATGAAAACACGTCGCTCTCACCCACAAGTAGAAGTGTATGCAGTGTGCCATTGTCTGCTTCCCACGTAATATTATGAGGTTTGCAACCCAGTGCTTTGACGTGGACCTTGTTGCCCAGCATCACCGTGACGGTCTGTCTAAATTGGACCTGTGGCAAACAAAATATATAGGGCGTATTAAATTTAATCATTTAGTTTTAACAAATTTATCAATTTAATACGTAAATTTTGACCGTGATAAAAAATGTCGCCTGTCTTAACTCCAGAAGTTGTTGACAGAATTTTGTTGCAGAAGAAAGGAAAATATTCGATATATTATATTAGGTACCGAATGATTTGTTCGTCGAGAGTCAAATTATTAGATTATTGGGTGTCAAATCGTTCAATTTTTTTAGAGGTCGATACAATGAACCGCTGCATAATGTACTCGTTTATGCAGACCATTATAAAATGCCCAATATAAGCTGAACTATTTTTCTCAGTACATTGTTTAGCAGTCTGAATAAACTATATTGGATTCTTCATATTTACTTTAAACGTACCTCTCAACATTTGTTACCTCTCCTGGTTTTGTTTTGTTTTCTTACTTTCTTTTTTTTCGGCAGTTTCATTCTGCAACCGAAAAAATTCCGATAATAGTGAAAAAACGTCACGTTCATGATATAGATGGTTACGATTAACCGTTATAGTCATTGACTCTGCGTTTTATGTAACAGTTACTGACTTGCATCAGGGTTTCTCGACCTTCGTATTGGCGCAACATCCATTGTCCTTGCAATTGAAGCGGCAAGGATTCCCGTCAAATCATCGGTGTCTTCTTGCTTTGGCCGCAAAAATTGATACGACGAGTCTGTCACTTTTTACTAAGATACTGTTCACTTGGGCTCGTCAAATTTTGCGCCGTTCTCTTGAGTACAATACATTTAAAAGGACCCGTATACTAACAATCCAAGCAATGTGATTTGGTGAGGCAAAAGTTGAGATCGGAAGTCAACGCTAATTTCCACTCAAAATGATGGTTGATGAGCATTTAGTTGAACATAAAACTCGCTGAATGGTGACTGATTGATGCTAGAGTGGGCGTTTTGCTGGACGAGTTTTATCCAAATGAGGTTTGATTCGTTAAATACATAGGGTGTCCCAAAAGTACTGCCCCTTTTTCCGCAGAGGGCGAAAGAATGCAGATATCTAAATGCGGTTTGTGTGAGGTTATAGTCCTAGTAATTACCTATAAAACAAGACCAAGTTGAGCTCTGTAGCTTAAAATTTGACCGAGATACAGCATTTTGAAAATGACGTGTCAAGGTGCCGCCTACGAGATTTTCAACATTTTTTACGAAAGAAAAAACCAAGTTTAAGAATGAAACGGTTTTAGAAAGAAGAAGAAGCGGCCAGAAACATATGGCAACACTGTGTTTTAGGCGGCATTTGGCAACGTGTAAGCGCCCCTATGCAGATCAACGACAGGATTGAAAGTGTCCGCTAGTGCCATCCAAGTTGGTCAAGCTTTCCCGGCACGTCAATCTGAGTTCATCCCTCTGTCGTTTTGGAAGTTTCTTTCGCGATGAGTACCGAATTAAGAAAAGAACAACACCACGTTATTCGTTATTGTTTTCGTCGAGAAATGTCAGTAAAAAACACTTTTAATGAAATGAAAGGCGTGTATAAAGACGACTGTTTGGACAGAAGTAGCATTGGTCGTTGGTTTAAATCTTTTTCTGGCGGCCGCGAATCGGTGGTAAGTCCCGCGAAACCGGGCCGACCGTCTACCTCCACCACAGACGAATTAATCGGTACCGTTGCTGCTGTTGTTCGAGGAGACCGTCATTTATCCTTGCGTAAGTTTCAGGTGTTGCTTGGCATCTCAAAAAGTTCATTGCACCGGATCTTAAAGGACCACCTGCAGATGCGTCGTGTCTGTTCGTCCTAGGGTTCGTCCGTAAAAAATGTTGAAAATCTCGTAGGCGGCACCTTGACACGTCATTTTCAAAATGCTGTATCTCGGTCAAATTTTAAGCTACAGAGCTCAACTTGGTCTTGTTTTATAGGTAATTACTAGGACTATAACCTCACACAAACCGCATTTTGATATCTGCATTCTTTCGCCCTCTGCGGAAAAAGGGGCAGTACTTTTGGGACACCCTATGTAGATCACTCGAATTTTTATCACCAGTCATCATGAGGAGAACCTGAACGTTAACTTTCGGAAGTAAACTTTATACCGTTGGAAATGTATAGCAAAGTGCAGGCCTTTTAAACATATCGACGGCGAAACTACAAAAATGCGTATCTCATACTTTAGCTTTAAAAGAAGGCCCAACCAACATTATGGCTTGAAACTTTCCCGGAATATTCATCACACAGAGAATAAAATAACAAGTTGGTTTTTGCAATCGCTAGCGATAGCAATATTCGTCATGGGAACTTTTGCTTCTGGGATATGAAAATTTTAAGGTACAGTTCGTTAGTAGTATCTTCAGAATTGAAGGGGCTATGTAATTTTGTGTCGACATCTCTTTTTTAACATTTTTAATTTTTTTTCTTTGCATACAAGAAAGCTGTTATTTACCAATTATTTATTTTCGTTGGATTATGTATGGTTTTTGGAAGTTAACGCATTTAACTTTCAGTTTCGTTTTTTCGGCGTAAAGTATGATATTTTTACTCTACGCATATGCCCGAATACGCATCATAACGACGGTGAAACTACCAAACCACGTATCTCGTTTGCGGTGTTTAAAAATCTCCGCTCACATTTTATTTTTTTGAAGTAGACCAAATCAATATCATTCCTTGAAATTTTCACAGAATTTTCTCCGCACGAAGAGGAAAAATCACGGAAATTTTCAAGACTGGACGTTAAGTAGCTTTTCATTTAAAAAATAAAGTATGACAGGAAGTCTGCGACGTCGCAAACCGAGATACGTGGTTTGGTAGTTTCACCGTCGATAAGTGACCTATGTGCTTCCTAAGTTGCCATTTTTTTCATTCAAATAGATGTAACCGAAATGTTAGATGTGTACTACCTATACTACTTTCATGTCATTGCTTTATTTATTTATTTACTTTTTGCGTAGGTATAAATTGTTATTTTTTGCTGAATTTTGGAGAAAATATTGCTTTAAGAACGTGGAATGTAAATTAATTTTATTGAAAAAAGAAAATACCATCATTAATTTGGGCGAACAGAGAAAATATACATCAATATTTGGGTCAACATCTCCCTGATTATATAAAGGATGAATATATTAGTATTTCTGTATCAAAAAACTTAGCTTTTGTCTTCAGAGATACGATGATTCTAGTCCCAGTCAATTTGTTTTATTGAAAAAACAAAAAAACAAAAAATAAATAAAAAAAAAAAAAAAACTGAAATGTCAGACATACTATTTTCATGTCTTTCTATTTGTATCAATAGGTACTTTTTGCTTAACTTACGAACGTTGAATGCAAATTAACTTTATTGAAAAAAGAAAATAACGTCATTAATTTGGGGGAACATGTGGCTGATTATATGAAGGAGGTATATTCCAGTATTTTTGTTTAACATATTAACTCACGAGAAAATGTTCGTACATTTATCATCTACTATTAATTATTTTTTGATGATTAGTCTAAAACATTCAATACAACCATTAAAAAGTAGTTCCCATCGTCGGGTATCGAACTCCCGATCGCCGGGTGCCCGCACCGAATCAAAAATACGAGGCGGTTTAGTCAACTAGGCTATAATGGATCCACGTGGGCGAGAGTAAAAATAGCATACAAAAGACTCGGGCAATGGGCGGGACTTATCACAAGAGACCTTGACTGCTTTTGGGATGATATGAAGCGCATTGCTGTTTTGCTGTAGGAGCCATGGTTCGCACTGTTTTAATGCGTCTCGAGGTTCATCCCAGCACGCATTCCGATCGCGGCAGTTGAGCTAAGGCAATATTTGCGTATCCATGAATTAAATCAATCAATCGAGCTCTGATTTTGACTTCTTTATCCGTAACGAGTCCTCCAGAACAATTTTCCACCTTGTACGATGGTTATTATTTCTTTACTTCTATTTTTCAAATTTGAGGTGGGATAATGGCGGCTTCTCAAGAACACCGAGGTAGGCGATCTTTTGCACCAACGAACAGAAAACTGATGGCGAAAAATAACCAATCAGAACCTCCCAAAAAAAAGAATTTGCCTAAAAACGGAACTTCGTGGTTCTGCGCAGATTTACCAGTCAGACACGACATCTCAAGATGGAAAAAAACTCGCTGAAAGCGAATTTTAGTAATCAACACAACTTGACGTAGAGACATGATTGGCTAAAAAATACAACGGTTTTTGATACATCGGAAAATCAAGCAAAAATCGGAGACTGGGCGAAACGCTCAAGGTCGCAGAGGTATAGGGAATCCCACAGCGAAAGCAACGGAACGATTCTAATATCATGGGGAACTCCGTTCCCATGACAAAAGTTCTCAAGAAATGACGTTTGGTAGTTTTCCACGTAGGAAATAGAGTATGACATTATGTCTGCGTCGCCGCGCCGCAGATCCAGATACGCATTTTCACACTGCCGTGCTTAAGAAAAACGCTCTATGCGCCCTCGGACGTTGCCAAATTTCCTTTAACAAATCACGAATTTTCGGGGGATTTTATTAATATTTTCCCTCCGATTTTTTAAATAATTTTTTCCTTAATTTCATCTGAAGTCTCTGGAAAATTATTGAAAACTTTCCTCAAAAATTAATGTTTTCCGCGAGAAAATGTGGATACCTATTCTCGCATGTTCATTCGGCGTTCTTCCTTAGCTCCGTCGATATGTGCTGCTACTGTTTGTGATAATGTCATCGCATGTAATTCATCTACTTACCACTTACATGAATGAATGTTAAGTTTGATTTCTTATCTATCACATCCGGGCATATTTCGAAGTGCTCAACTTTGCTGTTCATTTCGGCTCGGTTAGGTGGCCGCCATAATCTTCCGTAGTGCCCCATGGCAAGTAGGGATGAGACAGTTCCGAAAAAGAGCAGCAATCTTAAAAGCTGATCCGTCTGAGGAACTTCCATTTTGCAAATTAATACTCCTGAGAACATAAATGCCTTTGTGTTAAGATCGTGTAGGGGTCGGTAACAGTTGGACTACATTTTGCAATTAGGAACTAAAAATTGTGTTAAAACCATCGTATGTACCATTAGTTTCTCTATCCAGATAACGACGGTGTAAGTCGGCAATCACATAACTCGATTGCGGTGTCTGAAAATCTCCGCCTCTATGTTATTTTTTTAAAGGAGACCAAATTGACATCGTTCCTTGAAGTTTTTGCCGAATTTCCCTCGCACGGAGAAGAAAAATCACGGCAGTTTTAAAGAATTGCCGTTGAGTAGTTTTCCGTTTAAAAAATAAAGTATGATAGGAAGTCTGTGATTGCCGACTTACACCGTCGATAAGTGCTTTTACAGATGGGTCGGAAGTTATATAGTCTGTCCCAGATACGAAGAGCTCTGGAAAATCGGAATAATTTGCACGATGTAGAAGCAAGGTATCGTTCGTTCTATTGATACCCGTCTAATCACCGAGCCAACCCCGCACCGCACAGAGGGCTGGTTACGAGCTCCGCGGCGCGGCGGCGCCTTGCGTCGGGAATCCGCTCCTGGGTCCCGGGGAAAACCGGCCTCGTGCATCGCGTTAGTTCAGATGAACACTATCTAGCTTCTTATTGGTGGATGGTAATCAATCAATAAGGGATATAACGCAGTCCATTCTGTGCTTAATTCGCACTCGCATTCTGAACTTTACTGGAGGTAAAAATGGAGGTAAAACCTTTGGCCAGAGGAGCGACGATTAATGTCAATAATCAGGGATTTAAATCGCCTATCCCGGTCTGGAAATGCGAAGGGAGTATGCGTTGCCTCGAGGTGGCTTGCGACCCTCTGTGCGACGCATGTGAGAGGCGACGAGATGACAGGTGACGAGGGTCGAGGCACCCCAACCCGCCAAATAGTGCTAATTACTCTGATTTTCCAGAGCTCTTCGTATCTGGGACAGACTATAGCTCCGAATCGCAAAATGAAGTCCAGTTATTGGGTCATTTTAAGTGAACCCGTCCCAGACCATAGTTTGAAATCGTGTGGATCTTTGAATTCGAAGAACTTCTAACTCAAAGAACTTTTAAAATGTTTGTCATATATTATATTTTGACAGAAACTTGAGAATAAATATGACAATATAAACTCTTTTGAAAAACAAAGTCCGAGAGAAAATTTGCACCGTCACAGAGTTTAGGATACGTGTTCTCAGACTTCGCCATTGATATAATAGTATTGGATGCGATTTACGCGTATGAATTGGAAATTTACAAAATACTATAGATTCCGGTCATGCGGTATCTATTACTTTTATATTTATTATTTATTATTTGAAAATATGAGATTAATTTCACTCTCGAAGGACAATTAATCACCATCACATTAGTTGACGTCAACGTTTTACATTGTATGCTTCACGTAACTATTTGCGCATTCTTGAGAAATTTTTTCCTTCATATATAGAATGTAAGTACATTTGAAATTTAAAGTTACCTGATTTTATAAGTGGAGGACACTAACTCTAAGAAAAAGGGCACCGAAGACACTGATTGTGAGAGACTTTCTGTGAGTTGATTGACGGTAAGTAATTATCAAATTTAAAATCATCAGGAACGGCTAAGTCATTTCACTTGATAGTATGTGGTGTGATTTTTCAGACTCATTGAAATGCACTTTTGATTAAACGTGCGCATCGCCCGATGTGGACAGACGAGCGCCCTCATTTCGAGACCAATCAATGAGCTCCAAATGTTTATGATTTAATTTTTATTTGGAGCAAAGGCGCGTCATGCTTTGCGATAGAATTTGTCAAAATCATGAAATTGCGTATTTCGCACTCTGTATCTATTGTAGCGGCATAGGCGGATCCCTCTAACGCCCCCTCCCTCGATTCGCCCGAAAAAAGGAGGAAAAGAAAAGAGGAAGGGGTGGAAGAAAGAAGAAGGAAGGGAGCTTATAATTGGACAGCATTTTGCACTTTGGAACTATAAATTCTGGCCCGGTTTAAAAACAACGTATGTGCCATTAGTTTCCCTATGCACATAAGTGTTTTTTCAGGTGAGCCAGAATTTATAGCTCCAAATTGCAAAATGCAGTCCAATTGGTAATTGATCATGACGAAATGGACTTGAACTACATGTTAGATACTTTAACATTTCGGAAATTTTCTGGGAGAGCCCCCCGGAACCTTTTTAGCCCCCTCTCGTTTGAAGTATTTGGAACCGCCTTTATGTAAAATCATTATAACCCCCTGCAAAATTTCCAGTGCTATACTGTTGGCTTTTGTTAGAAATACGTAAAATAAGTATGTCCTTTGTATGATGCTATGCTCAAGGTTTCCTCAAACTTATCGTGATCAGTGTAAATCATACGAGGCTTCCTGTGGAATGATCTGTTCAGGGAAAGACCATATGAATACGGTCTATGGTCTATGGTCGCGAAGTATTCGTGAGAGTTATATTTTGGTTCTCGCGCGTGAATGCGTGCACGTCACGTATGTCGTGACGCCACGTCGCGAACGTGAACTTGAAAACGCACTCGCTATGCGGCCTTCAAAAACTGGTACAACAATGTAGAGCTCTTCAAAAATGCAGGCGCCTTCTTTGAACTTTCTACGAGGATGCGCCCGCACATTGGATTGAGTCAAAAGGAGAGGTCAGACAAAATTGGGAAACTTTAAACGCCTATATTTCCGTTTAGACAAAATGTTGAGGTTCTAAAAGTGGTTCTATTGGTTTTCTCGTAAAATTTTCTCACAGAGACACCCCTTGAAATTTAAAATGTGACGCAATAAACATCAAAATTTGCAATCTTCGTCAAAAATTTCTTGTCCGACCTCTCTATAATTGACTCGATCCACTGTGCGCAGCGACTCGAGAGGAGGGTTGAAAACAACATCTTAGGAATACTCTAGGCACTCTGCATTCTAAACTTGGGCGGGTGAATGCGGAACCAATTTAAGAGGATCCGGATGTTGATCGATGTAACACGTCCGATATTCGTGTGTTCTAACGGATTCAAACCATTTACAGATGTTTAGGAGAGACGCAGGATCGTGGAACCATCTCCACTTTTTGGCAGAATTGATTATAGCTTGATTCAGGTATAATTTTGTGTGTTCTTTTCGAAATTGAAATTAACTCGGATTGAAAAAGATATAATCCATGCTAAAATTTAAATTTAATTTAATTTTTAAATCAATGATCAATCAATCAATTCTAATTGAAGCGCTGGGTGCAAAAAGCGCATTTCATGGTTGCGGTGTCCCAGAATCTTCGTTAGGGTTTCATCATCCATCATAATTAAAGCACATGTGCGGGATTCGTTGAAACTTTTAATGAACTTTCTTTATAATTTGACAATGCTGAAAGAAGAAATTTCAGAAAATTTGCCCAAAACTTCCCTCTCTAAAATATAAATTAACACTGGGGATTCTGAAACATCGCAACCAAGACATGCCCTTCTGTACCCAACGCCTCAATTATTACCTCTATTTGTTTAATTTTTACAATTATCACAGTTTGATTGTTACACAATTTATTACATCGAATATTACAGTTCAACAGCCAAGAAAACGAGATGAGTATTGCTGCTCAGAAGTTTATTTTAAAAACGACTTTTTGATTGTTATTTTAATTCATTTATTGTTATTTTATAGAATTGACTTGGACGTGCTTTGCATACCCTGGTAGCACAGGTCAGATTGAAGATGTTTTTAAAATGTGTCATTGATCCGAAAAAATTTCTTTAAAACATTTCAATGAAACATCTTGAAAACATATCATGTGTCCCGACGGATTTGAGAAGGTTTCTAAAACAACTCTATGTCACCCCTAAATTTTGTTTCACAGATACGATAGATGTCTCTCATACCTTTTCAACACATCTCAGTGAGGTATCGGCACCGAGGCTAAAAGTATCAAAAATTTTCAGACATTTGTTTTAACTAATGTCGCTGTGGAATTAGAACCATCACAGCAGGCATCCCTTGATACCAACCCTGCATGAGGGCTGAATCGTTACACTTCATCATTATCAACCTATCAGAGGGATTAGAACACCTTCACTTTAGAGAAGTATACGCAAAGCGCGATGTACGGTTTCAATATTCTAGATAATCCATAACTTTTGAGCTTTTATGGAGATGAACTCGATTCATACAAGGAATTAACCGTGTTAATAACCTCCACATAATTAAATGTCCAATAAGTATAGCTTGAGACGAAAAATTAAGCTGAAATTTGGTAAAATTGAAAAATTAAACTTCAACGCCCTCTGGTGGATTCAGTTTGAACTAGGTAGGAAAAGTTTTAGAAAGGTCCTAGAAATGTTTCTATGTTATTCAATGAAACATTTCTAAAACGTGTCAAAAACATTTTAAGTGACGTATAAATTCGAACAAAATATTCAAAAAGGTTTCAAAGACATTAAGTATATTTATTTTTAATTGAAAACCAATCCAAAATGTGTCAGATAGGTTGCTGGGAGGTGTTGTTGAGTCATGCAGGAAAAGTATCTGACAGCACTTTGAGAAGTTGCTTGAAACAAGCTGTAGATTCATTCGAAACATTTTCAGAATATTTCCAAAACATTTTACCAAACACTTCGAAATTAGAAGTATCTGAGAACATGTTGGAGATGTGTTGAAAACGTTTTTAAAATGTGATAGTAGAACAATTTGAAAACATTTTGAACACATTTTAAAAACATTGTTTTCACGTTTCTGTAAGATAAAATGAAAATATTTTTAAACTGTGTTCAAAACATGTTGTCTCTGATGAAATATTTTACATGACTCGCAACTTTGTCTTCAAAATGTTTTTAAAACATTTCATTTCCCCTCCAAATTTTTCTTTTGTAAAATGTTTTGGATTGGTTTTCAAAACATTTCTGTTGTGTTAAATGTATCCTATTTGAAAACATTTTCAAAATGTTTTGGATATGTTTCAATGAAATGTTCAAAGTATTTGCGTCATTGAAACATTTCTGAAATATTTCTAATATGTTTCATCGAGATGAATCAGTTTCGACACAAGGGAAATGTTTCTAAAACCTTACCGATCCGAGCTGTGCTACCAGGGTACATATACAGGGTTATTCAAAAGTCACGCACCACTGGCCATAACTTTAGTTCTAACTGTGATATCGACTTGCGGTTTAAGACGTTTTCCCTCATATCGAGGGGGAAATTTTTTTAGGTGCTTTCCAGTTTTTGATCCCCTCGATGGGGAGGGGGGCGGGGGGCAACTCAAAAATTTCAAATGGCCACCCCCCTCGTGGCCAGTGGTGCGTGACTTTTGAATAACCCTGTAGATATATAAAGTGGATAAGGTGTCCTATTTGTACTTCGACGTAGCAAATCTTCGCTCATGGATTTTTCTTTTCTTAATAAGAAATTTGATCAACTGACCATTTAACGTCTTTTCTGAAATTTTGCGTAAATTTATCATACTCAATTATAAAAGCTGACAAACATTTCATTGGGATATTTTAGTCACGAACTTCTGAAAAAATAAACACGATCCGAGAGTTTGAAACGTTGCAGTAATGACTTGCATTTTCCGGTTTTAGCCTATGATGTATTATCCAAAAAAATTACATAAATTATTTGATTCATTCCAAGATATTTTCAGAACTAGCCCACTTATAAAAGAAAGATAATTGTTCACTTTTTTCATGTTTAAACCATTTTTCCAACCAGTCATTCATGTTATCCTAATCTTATATTATTGCAGAGATTAGCAGTACCGCATCATGTCTAAATTACAGATTTCTTATCGCAACGAATGTTAATATTTGACACGTGAACGTAAAATTCAAGGTAAATACAGCTCTGGGAACCAAAATTGGCAACCCTGATCTCGAACAACGATGCATTGTACGGCGCGCAAAATGCACTAAAACCATTATCTTTTTTTCTGCCCGCTATTTTTTATTGTCTCTATTATTTCTTCACGGCTAGGGCTGCCATTCTATGCAGTGGCGTGGCGTGAATTGCGATGTATCGATTTTTATGCCATTTAAACCTACGGAAAAGGATCGATAAACAGGGTGTTCGCAGCGAACACCTTAATAATTGATTCTTTACCATAGGTTTAAATGGCATAACAATCGATATATCGCAATTCACGCCACGCCACTGATTCTATGCACAAGTAATTCGAGTTCGACTACAATATTGCATGTAAAAATGGAATTCCAGGAGCAATGATAACACCGTCTGAATGGAGCATGCTCCGTTCGTTGCGATAGCGTCAGGATATCCTCGTTGCATCTCGCAACCAAGTAGCATCGTCGAGGAAATTTTATCACGTCTAAGCGTTTTTTCCCGCTGAGTCCACTCCGAATCGATTTTCCATAGAATATACCTTCCGTTGCGCCCTCTAACAGGAAAAAGACGTATTTGTTTCGCAATATTTTGCGGATAAATAAAGAAGCTAAGGGGTGATTCATAAGTGACGTCAATTAGAATTATTAAAATTATGCTGTAAACTATGAAATTGATGTATGTCGGCACTACAATGACCATGAGCATGACATGACACTAAATAAGCCTTTTGTTTCACTCGAAAACCTCTTTTTTTCACAAAAGGACTCGACCGATTCGATCGTTAATGTATTGTATTTGGAGGAAGAACACATCGTTTTATTACG